AGGTTCAGTTCACCGGGGTACGTAAAAGAACCTCACCTAAAAAAAAAAATTGCCTAGCTGGTGGCTGCAGTGACTGAATAGTTACTTTCAAACTTTTAACGATTGATAAGGGTGACAGAATATGACAAAGATATAAGATCTCAATTTTTATCGGTTGTCATATGGTCAGGGCAATTTTGCGACCTCCGTATTGACTTGCCATCATAAGTCAATTGGTAAAAACTTGAGACTGTGCTTCTTGTCAAGCTCTCGAGCATCCTTTTTTGTATGGTTCTGTTGTAGTTATCTAGCTGGGCGTCCTTAATATTTGACTGGAATATGCAAAAATACGAATACCCTCTACCAGTAAAACGCCTTTTGGGCGAAGAACGAGCGAGCGAGATAGTGAGCCCTGCACGTGCGGAAGGGCGAGAGGGTACTTCCAACGGCAACGGGCTTGCGCAAAGCACCCTTCTAACCGGTCGCTAGCGGTGTACCAAATTTGAACGCAATCGGCCCAGCCGTTCCTGAGATCTAGAAGCGGCATTCTGCACGTGCGCACGTGCAAACGGGGTCCAAACTGACTTTCGCACGGCACCCTGCTAACTGGTCCCCAACCGTGTACCAAATTTGAGCGCAATCGGCCCAGCCGTTCTCGAGATCTGGAAGCGCCCCCTGCACGTGCGCACGTGCAAACGGGGTCTAAACTGACTTTTGCACGGCACCCTACTAACTGGTCCCCAACCGTGTACCAAATTTGAGCGCAATCGGCCCAGCCGTTCTCGAGATCTGGAAGCGCCCCTTGCACGTACGCACGTGCAGCAGCACCCCAATTATGGCACATGGATATGCATTGCCTAGTGGGTGCCTACCTACATGCTAAGTTTCAGCGAAATTGCCCCAGTAATTACCGAGTTATTAAAATGGGAACAAATTTGACACCTCTTGTTGTTGTATTTTGCACGTGCACTGGGGGTGACCCACATGCATCGAGAGTATCCTATTTTTGGTAGAAGGGATGCTGCTACCCTACAAAATTACCGCAAACCAGTCGCCCAAGCGGCTGCTGAGATATGAGCCTCTCAAAATCACTACTTTTGCAAAACAGCTTGAACACCCTTGACTTTTCACGTGGCACGTGCCACGACGGTCACTGAGATGTTTCAAAAGTAGTCAATTACGGGGTAGAAGGGATGGGGCTACCCAACAAAAAAGACCGCAGGCCAATCGGTCCAGCGGTTGCTGAGATATAAGCCTCTCAAAAGCGTTACAGGCCGGGCCGGGCCGGGCCGCTCATACTGAGATTTTTCCGTTATATTGAAAGACTCACTTCGCTCGCTGCGCTCGCTCGTAATTATTTCTGCAATGTCAGTAGGCGGTTGGTCGTTGGACACACATCATCATTAGCATTAGAACCACTTCACTACCCAGGAACTCGCCGACGGCGGATCAAAGTGCTTTACCAATGTACACACGATTTCATGAGCTGTCGAGGACCCAAGCAACTACAGCTGTCACAAACCAAGCATTTGCACGGACTTATCCAGATAGGGGCTGAGCAGCGGGTACGCGCTGGAGGTGTCTCCGCTGGTGCTCCTCCTCTGCGCGAACTTCTGCACGCCCACGTCCACGGTCCTCTTCCTCGGCCAGCGGCCCTTCTTCTGCTGCTGCTGCTGGCGGCGCGCGCGGCTCTGCGCGCCGTTGATATGTGCGAAGAGCACGCGCAGGACGCTCTCCTTCTGGAGCCAGGTGAGCGCCGACACATCCACCTGGTCGGCGTCGGCGCGCCACTCGTTGTGCCGCTGCCAGTCGTGCACGATGTCGCGCGACGACTTCTGGCTGCCGTCGGTGGTCATCACCTCAGGCGGCGGCGCCTGGCCGGCCAGCCCGGCCGCCATCTGCTGCCGGTACTGGTGCTCGGCGTCCCGCCAGAACTGGCGCCGCTCCCCGGCCGCCGCACCCGCCACCTGCTCCAGCGCCGACAGGAAGAAGTCCTCCAGCTGAGAGCGGCGCGCCAGGACGCGGCGTGCCAGCGCGCGCAGCCGCCGAACGGTGGCCTCTCGCAGCGCGAGCTGTCGGCGCAGCTGCGCCAGCTGGCGCTGCTCCTGCTGGCGCTCGTGCTGCGCCCAGTCGAGCAGCTCGGCGCGCACCTCCTGCAGCGTGACGGCCTCCTGCAGCCGGTCCGACTCGGACTCGGCCAGCCGCTCGCGCAGCTGCTGCGTCGCCACCTGCTGCGCTGTCAGCTGGCGGCGCATCTGCAGCAGCGCAGCCGAGCTGGTCTCGGCGTGCGTGCGCGCGCGGTCCAGCTGGCGGCTGCGCGCGGCGTCGGCGGCCTCCAGCGCCAGCACCCGCGCCTGGTACTGCTGCAGCGTCCGGTTCAGGCAGTAGTTCTGCCCGTAGACGTCCGCAGTGGTGGCGCTGATCTCTTTGGCGGCCATTTGATGGGCCGTGTCCACCAGGTTGTGCACCTCCTGGCGCGCCAGCTTCTCCAGGTTGCGCTTCTCGCGGAGGATCATGGCCTCGTACTCGACCAGCTGGTTCTGGTGGCGCACCATCGTGTCCAGCAGCTCCTTCCGCAGGGACTCGTTTGTTTCCTCTAGCTTCTCGTTCGCCTCCTTCAACCCCTTCAGCTTGTTGGTCTCGTATTCGAGTCTCAAAATTTGAATTTCGTTTTCTGAAATGATTTCGTTGAGGCCTTTGATCTTGTATTCATACTCTGCTGCCAGAGTGTTTCGCTTACCGCTTTCGACTTCCCTGATTTGAGCAAGCTCCTTTTCAACCACCTCAAGTCTAGCCTCATTGGCACCTCTCTTTTGCCGAAGGTATCCCACAACTTCAATGCAGTCTCTTTCCACCTTGATAAGACGCTTGTGTACGTGTTCATTCTCATCCAACAGACTGAAAGAGCACTTACGGTACTGCTCTCGAGAATGTGCCATTGCTGTCAGTTTGATTGTGAGCAGTTCGTTGGTTCTCTGACAGCTCTTCAGCTGCTGCTCCATTTCGGCATATTCTTCTGGTGAAATCATCTTCCGCTTTTTGCCCTTTTTGCGTTTACCTTTTTTGCCCTTCTTCTTCTTCTTGCCGGATCCGGAGCCCTTGGACTTGGTAGACTTTGTCCCCTTCCCTCGTCGGCTGGAGCCGGCTTTGCCCTTTTTGGGGCCTTTCTTTCGGCCCAGCGCTGAAACTTTGCCAGGCATTGTTTTCAAAATAGGCGCCATTGCCATCGTTTGCAGCAACGCTTTTATATCTTCATTCCAGTCATGCGCCTATATCCTGTCTGCCTACTATCAGATCTTTCTATTTATGCGTACATAATTGATATTTATACATTATCTTTGTGAAAGGCTTGATAGTACTGCAGCTTCAAATAGGCCTGTTGATTCTGCTGATTTCGTAGCAGGTAGTTGGGAGTATTTTACGATGCACGAGAAGTGAATATAGCCGGTCACCATTCGTGATGGCTCGGAACCTATTTCAGTACTCACTGGTACAGTACAATGCCATTAAACAAAAATATACCCTGCGCAATATAACCCGGTGAAACAATGTTTTTCTAAAAAAAATACATGGAATAAATTTGAAATGAATGCGACCTATACGAATTTATTATTGTATTAAAACGAGCAATACCACAGCACAGATCCTCCTGTTTTCACACATGTGGGCGCTCATAGAGACCCTGCTGAGCAACACATCGCGCGTTATATAAACACGGAAGTCCTTAGTGTGTAAAGCATGGCTAGTGTGTGCACATGCCAGAGTTAAAATAAACAGATGATACGCTGTTTGCCAAAATCATGATCCGACTTTCGCAAGCTGTGTGACAAATATTGTGTCTTATGTCTTACAAATAGGTACTCCACCGTCTGGCTTCATGGAAACTGCGTAGTAGCGCCTTTCGAATAAATAAACTGGACCATTTCGTTTCCCCTACGGTAGCATTACCGTTAGTGTCTTATAAAATCACTTGTGCGTACCCGAGCATCAATCGATCTTCCCCTCCTCGCCCTTCTTTTTTTCAGAGTTCCTACAAGTGATAAGTAACAGTCGGTGGCAATACGTTTTCCTAGCCCTGACCAATATTTTGTAAACGCCTCTTTGTAAAAAAAAAGAAGCATCAGACATGACGCAGTTTATTTAACCCTCGCATGTGTAGGGGGGGTCGGATGGACCCCCCCCCCCATGGTTTTTCGCGAATAACTCGCGTAAAAAGCGGCCGATCGCGACGAAACTTTCAGTACCCTCGCATTGATCAATTTTACACCTACCCTGAAAATTTCATGACCCTGACCCAAATGACCTTTGACCTGTGACCTCTTTTCCGAGACCATGTTTGGCCGGAATCGCGATTTCGCGTATGTCGGCTCGCACTAGCCGCGTGTTTGCAAGCTTTTCGTGGTTTCAAACGTTCAAACATGTGATTTGATGTTACTCCCGTGTGTGTCAAGGTCACCTGAAGGTCAGGTCAGGTCATTGACCTTTGGTGACCTCGGGTGACCTCGGGTCACTTTTTCGAGTTTTACATGTTTCTAGGCTAGTTTTTGGAGCTGAATTCGAATTTAGCAACCATTTGAACATTTACGAAGTAGTTTTGGTGACTTCGTAACATGTTACGAAGCTGTCAGAGGCGGTTGACACGTACTACGAATACCCGTCACGACGCCTACTGGTTGACCTGACCTGACCTGACCCGACCTGGTCTAAATGCTTCAAGACATCATCTGTGATCAAAACTAACACGATATTCGTGATCAGCACCCCGAAAAACCCCTTAGCAGCCACACTTTACGACTTTCTAACAGGTCCCGATTTTCCCGACTTTGGGTCATTGACCTGACCTGGAAGGTCAACCAATGACCTAGGACCTTAAAATTGGGTATCATCGGCTTCCTCTCGTCACGGGCAACACGCTCGTTTTTTCCGCGAAGCTCTAGCTCGATCAGGGGCCAAACGGCAAGGGGGGGGGTCCAACCGACCCCCCCCCCCCCCTACACATTAGAAGCTGGCAAACGCCGCACACATGCGAGGGTTAACACTTTATTGGCACACATCATGGTGGTTGCAACACATGCGGAATGACCTCTGTTGTACTTTTGTAGCGTAAATCAACGAATCATATTGTGAAAACAGTCGTTGCACCAGCCCCATAGCCGTGAACAATGAACATGCTTCAAATCACCACGCATGCGTCAAGTAATCTACACATAAGTATCGATGTCAGTATCCGCAATCAAATCCAGTTTATTTGCCAAGTTCCCTGGACGCTATTGATATTAGTCACCGCAACTATGTCTGATAGATGAAACTGTCCGGCCGCATAGCGTCTGCCACCACCGTTTTCTAAGCCGTCACCACTGGTGTGTAAGCCGTCACCACCGATGTCTAAGCCGTCACCACCGGTCTCGGAGTCGTTACAAACAGTCGCAAAGTCAGCTCGGGAGGACGACGAGGCTTCGCGTCAGGGCAGAACTCCTCATAGGGCCTACTCAAAGCCGGGCAACGGGAGCTCCTCGTGAGCGTGCTGCTCCTGCTGCCGCCGCAGACCCTGGCGACGGCCCTGTCTCTGCCGGCGACCCTCCTGCCCCTGATCCTGACCCTGACGCTGGCGACCCTCCTGCCCCTGGTCCCGACCCTGACCGCGTCGGCCCCCCTGACCGCGGCCCCTACCCTTCTGACCGCGGCCCCTGCCCTTCTGACCGCGGCCCTTGCCACGGCAGGTGGACGGCTCGAGCTCGATCACCACTCGGCACGGACCGCCACTGCCGCCACCGGTCTTCATCGGCAGAGCGTAGATTCTGTCGGCAGAAAAGAACATGGGTAAGATGTAGAACAAACTCGAAACCCCGCAGATGTGTCTGGAAACGTTTTCGGTAAGGTATGTGATTTGAGTTTGCTCAACCCAGTACCGGATTTTGGTATATTTAAACATACAAATTACGCTTGGAATTATCAATCTTAAGCAGCACAGGAATAAACGGACTCGTTGTTATCAGTCGGGGCGCAGTTAACCAGTTGCAGTTGACGGCCCGCCTGAGGAACCCCACACCGTGTTTACATAGCGGCGCTGACCTGGCTCCGGAGGCCGGCACTTGGCTCAAGTCGCCGACGTTCTCCATACCGAACCGGTTCGCTCTGGAGAGCACCGCGTGCACGGGCAGCGTGCGACTGACGCCCTGGTCCAGCGAGGCGGTGTCGATACCAACTCCGACCACGGCCGGGTCCTCGGCCAGGTCCTGACCCGCCGCCTCGCCAAAACCTGCCCGCACGATCGCACAGCGCGTCAAACGGGAACACGTTTTACGGTGACATTCAGTGGAAACAAGTTAGCTGAAGTTTCGATGGCCCAGCGATAGAAAATAAATGCGGCGATTGTCTTATTTTAAATGTCGAACGCAACTACAACCATCTACATATGTCTATATATGACTAAAAATGACCGATCTCGCTCACCGGGGAAGTGGTAGACGCCGGGCTCGGCGTCGCTCAGGCCGAAGTAGCGGTTGCGGTCGGGCCAGTAGGCCGCGTAGCCCGTCCTTATCAGCACGATGGTGGGGTACTTGAACTGGCCGTGGGCGTCCCTCCAGGCGTTCAGGTCCTCCGGGGTGACCATGGCGTCCGGGTTGGCGGCGCTCCTCTCGCTGATGTCGATCACAGCCGCTGCGGCGCAGCCACAGGTCGAGTTAGGCAGCAAACACCTGAACTTTTCTACAGACAATGGCCCAGTGGCGCTAAAAAAATACGTTATGATGTGTCCATCCATCAGTAACCGTTAGGTCATGACAAGTCGTCGTGGACTACACAAGGTGACGGTGGTCCTCTCGTCAGATGGTCAGCCGACTGGAAGGCGGACACCGACGAGTGCTGCCTATTGCCTAGTCTCACCGTTAGCGATGAGGCGCTCCACCGGAATGTCGGCTATCGTCCACCCCTGCTCATAGAAGTGAGACGGAGCGTCCATATGAGTGCCGGCGTGCTCCACGGTCTCAATCTTGAACTTCTGGCTCCTGCAGTCAATCACAAAATGGCTTCATATAGACTGAGTGGCATGGTGACTGGAAGCGTCACACTCGTGCACAACGTTGCGCTCTAAATGAAATTCTAACATTCACGTATTGTAACTATTGTTTGGAATTATAAAAAGTGCTAAATCGTTGACCTAATGCGAACGTTGGCACTTGGCTGCACAGCATAGGGAAACGGCGAACATTTTTCTTTGTGTCGTTCTACTTCAACCATTTCATTTGTATGCCTACCTAATATGGACAATTATAATGTCCCCATAAGCATGATCTCTCGTTGCAAGGACATGTTTGGTTATGTCATACATGTTTAAGCCATTCAAGTAGGCCAGAATAAGATATCAAGCCTTGCGAGTACGTGAACCATTGCTTGGTTATCTTTATGTGCAGCGTTGAAGGTACAGTCACCAGCAGTTGCTACCCATCACCCCCGGACGGCGGGGGAGTAAGCTACCACCGCCCCTGCGAGACTAGCGCCGCCATGCGCCAAGAAGTGGAAACACCACGTGACTGAGGCCACGTGAGGGCAGGGTCACGTGATGGAGGGGCGGAGCATAGTAGCTTTTGCGCCCGACACTAACTGAAATGCGGCGCTGTGATTGGGCGCCTTAGCATGAATGAAGCCCCGGCGCCAGAATCAGCCGTTCGCCTTATATGGAAAGTGAGCCTTTGCGTTTCACTGTTCTGTATTGGTTTGAGAGCCACGGCACCATACGAATTGTGAGCCCCTTTGAACGGGTCACCGCCCGAGGCACTGAGGCGACGGCTGTGCCGGGCAAAGTCTCGCCTGGTGGGAGAGGTGGGCCAGGGAAGGTGCGATCGAGCAGCCACTGAGACGTGGATTGGTATTATCCAACCGCGACAAACGATGTCAGCAGCCTCTTCTCGTGTCACAGACAGTGTCTATGACACGAAAAGCTAGACAGACAACGTGGGCAGTGCCCACTCAAAAGCTACTAAACGATCCAGTTAAGAAGTTGGCGAGGTAGCCAGACCAAATAAAAAGTTTTTAATTCGATTTTGGTTGACAAATGACATACATACAAGCCCGCTGTGATGGACCAAAAAAGGAGCTGAACAGTAACAGTTCATACAACTTCTAAAACGCTCAACGGTTTAACAATTCAAAAATCAAAAGTTAAATGTTAAAATTAAGCCTGCATGTTTAAACTCTGGTCCGGCGCGTGCAGGAAGCTTATATTGCCAGTTGCCACTTGCAATTCCACTACGTTGTAATATAACCAAGAGTTCTGTGAGAGCAGCAACTGAAAGCCCCGTTGAGGGGGAGGGCGGCGCGAAACGGCCCCCTCTCCTTTTCAGTCGATATCTCCTAAAGTATCGCAAATGTCGCCACCAAACTTTCAAGACCCCTCCGGGCATCATTTTTACACCTTGTGACCAAAATTTTCCAGAGCTCTTATGAAAGGCTAGTCACAAATGACGTGAGAGGGATGCCATGTTCTGTCATTTTCGACCCAATAAAAGGTTTAGCGGGAAGAGCTGTCACGCTTACAGTTTTGAAGATAACGAAAAATATTCAAGATAAAAAAGATGTAAAATAAACAGGCTACCAAACTGCTTACTCTTATTTCCAAACAAAAATTGATTTTGACCATCCAAACTATAGAAGTATAACACCCGAAAATACCAACAACTTTCAAAATTAAACCGGAATAGATGTGATAGAACTATCTGCTCTAGATATGCCAAACTTAAACTCGATAGCTCCATTTTTAGCAAAGTTATGGCAAAAAACTACTCAAAATTTATTACGTAAATTTTTTAATTCAATTTTTTGCCGTCACAGAACACACAAAGCGAGCCAAAGGCCACCATTGGATTTCCTGTGATGAGCTGCATCGAATAGATATCCCTTTATGCAAAAATATGAACTTTGAAATTTGACCTTCTTTGACCTGACCTTGACCTGACTTCCACCAGAATGTAATCTAAACTGGCTCCAGTGGCCGTCTAGCTCACACCATTGAATTTTAAATGTAAAATTGGCCATAAAACATGCATCACACGACCCTAGCATAGTTGGGTTCATATTGTGACCCTTAGTGACCTGACTTCTGTGAACTGACCTGGCATCAATGACCTCTTTAGGCAACATATGTATTAGACAACCAACGCTCCATCGATGTTTTTCGATAACATGCCTTTTATTTGATGTGTTAACTGACTGTAACGCATTCCTTAGACTAAATCGGTGAAAAAATGCGACCTTTGACCTGACTTGTGACGTCATGGGTTGCACCTAGGTCAACGAAACCTGGTAACAAGGTAGTTCCCTGGTGGGGCTATCAAACGCTCTTTGAATGTTTAAAATCTGTCGGTAACCTTCCGAGATCTCAGGTGGAGGGCGAAACGGCTGCACCACCCGATCAGGTGGTAGAGTCCGCCAATAGCCCAAGGGGGCCCGGAATATTTATTCACTCATACAGTGTCATTTATTTTGAGAACACCTTTCTCACGCCATGACATGGTCCTCTCGTAATAGAACGAGATGAGGAGTGTTTTCACGCCTCCTTATGCACGGCTCTAAATGTCATTGAGCTATCAACTGTCAGCGGTTTTCGGACAATGAAGTTCTTAGTTCTTACTGAATCCAATTTTATTTCAAACGATTGTCACTGTACTAGTTTTCTTCTTATACATTTTTGAAAAAAGCGCTGAAGAAGTCTTTGATAGACGAAACCGGTCCGCTTATTCTTTTTCTAATTGTTTTTTGAATATATTCGTAGACTACTGGCTCTTTACTATAAAATTTGAGAATGTTTGGTATTACTTTGACCCGAACGATATGCAGCTGAATTTTTCCTCTTGAATGATTATGGACAGCTCGCGAAATTAACTTCAACCTAAACTACCGACAAGCAGAAGAAAATCCGATACAAGCCTACCTCAATCCTCTCACCTTATTGTGACCTTACCTCAGAAAAAATTCGAAAGCTTGTTGTAGCTACACCGACTGAGCGATCACTTTAAAACTTTCAGTAATTGCTTAGGGTAACAGTTATAAAATGGATACCTCGGATTTTTTATGTCTGTGACCTAAGGTCAGGTCAGTTTTGCGACTGCTCCATTAGGTATAAGTCGATGGGAGAAAATTGAAATGCGCCTGTTTTGGACGAATTTCGTTCTACACCCTCTCAAGCATCGGTTCATAGGTAAACATGACACACTGAATCGGAAAATTGCACCTGTGACCCCTCTGTGTGCCCCTGAGGTCATTTTAGGACATAAAAGGTCTTCAGCAGTTTTTTGACTTTTGACAGAGACGTGCTAGAGCGGTGAAAACACCGTTGATCTGAGGTCAAATTTGAGGTCAATCAGCGGTGCCCTCTGGGGGCTAAACGGTTGATCTGAGGTCAAATTTG